AGAAACCTCATCTATCCGGAACAATGCAGAAACAGAAAGCAAACAGTAAAAAAACCTTGGGGCAGCCAACACATCACAAAGCCATTGTGATTTATCCACACCAGAGCCTCTAATCCCACACTAAAGGCATTTGCTTTCGTTTCTTGCCAGATTCCAGCCTTTGGGCTAACTGCTTTCCGGTCTCACTGCAGACAACAGAGGAAGTTGGAACCTGCTCCTTACAGCTGAGAGGCAGGGCAGAGATAAAAAAAATCAGAAAAGCCAGAAATCTCAGGGGTGCCCCAAGTCCCCCCACAGAAGGAACAGGTAACTGACCCAGGCAATCAGCCCCTCAGGCACAACTGTAGAGTAACACTAAGTCTGAGGGATGAGGAGAAGGGTAAATCATGTTTAACATTTTTTATTTAAAATGGAAATGATGTGTGGAATACATTTCAGAAAAATGATTAAAATAAGATATAAAATTGAGGGTTGGGGATTTAGCTGAGTGGTTCTGCCGCCTGCCTCGAAAGCACAAGGTCCCAAGTTCGATCCCCAGTACCAAATAAATAAAAATAAGATATAAAACTGATATGCCATATCAAGACTAGATTGATTTCAAGGGACAAGGACCCAACCTAAATTGACACAAAAAGGGATATTACTTTACTAATACAGAGATGGCTTTGCTTTGGACACAAGTGAATCCAGGTTTGAATGGTATCATCAGGACCTGGCTTCGATCTCCTGCAGATCCCTCCTACTTCCAGGTTAGTCTCAGACTGGCTCTGTCCTCATGCTGTCAAGATGGCTGCCAGTAGCTTCCCATCTGATGAGACCCTCTTGTAAGTTGATCACACAAACCAAAAGACAAGACAAATACCTGTTCATCCTGAATCCAACCTCTGTGGCCAGAACCAACATGGACATCCTCGTGGAGCATGGGATGAAGTCAACTCCACCACAGCAGACAGAATGTGAGATGAAGGAGCAAAAGTGGGCATGGGGATGGGAGGAGATGATATCATGAGAGAGTGGATAAGATGTTGGGTAAAAGAGCAGCAGATGTCCACCAGCACAAGAAAACGCTGTCACTACCCTGTCTAGCACACCCAGCAGGGCTCTTTCTTGAGGTCTCTGGGCATACTTATCCTTACTGCTTTGTCTTGTTTTTCAGGTACACAGTAGATGTTTAATAAGTGGATGCGTAAATGGCCATTAACTGGCAGTTGGTAAAGTTTCAAGATCCTTAACACTGTACAACACACACACGCACAAGTAAACACACACGAGAATGGGTGTCATGTACACTCATCATTATAAGGAATGCATACTCATTAAAAAATATATTTAAAAAGTAAAATTTAAGCATTGCAAAATGAGTCTGATGACCATCAAAAAAGCTTATGTAGTTCTAAAATTGTTTCCAAAGTTTTGTTAAGAATCCTGTGAACATCTTTGTATATACAGCTTTTTTAAAAAAGTGCTTTCAATTATGGATTCACAGAAAAATCTCAGGAGAGGAAGTTAAATGTGACCATTTACAAGCAATTGATATGGTTATTTTTTACATTTACAAATGACTGGGACCATAAAAAAACGACTGTGACTGTTCATTTACATTTGGGGTTGGTTTTCTGTCACTTGCAACCAAAAAAGCCTGGGCAATGGATTTTTGCTTTTAATCTTATTTCAGTTATTTGGGGTGACAGGCCCACCCTAGGAAGAAGTGACCGCTTTGTGGTCTCCATATCAAGAGTCCCCAGATCCTTTGGGGAGCGGCGAGTTCTAACTTCCCCGTAACCTAGGAGGACCTGTGGCTGAGTCAAAGCAGAAGACTGAGCTCCAGGCCGAGATTTTCTGCTCAGGGACAGAGCAGGAGAGCCAGACGAAGGACCCCTGCAGGGCCCAGTCGACGCATGCGCACCGCAGCCTATCCAGGTGCTCCCCCCCCGCCCCCCGCAGGGGAGACGCTAACGAGCTGCGCACAAGGTTGCCAAAAGGCAGCATCAACTGCAGAAGGCCTCGACGCCCTCAGCAGGTGTGCGCCAAGTCCCTGAAGCAGGGTAAATGCACCTGTCCTGCCCATGGGGCCCAGGGTACCTGCTGATGCTTTCCCGTGGCAAGGAGCTCTTCTCTGCCCCAGAATGGCTGCCTGGGGATCACCCTTTCCTATCTGTCCCAGGGCAGCGCCTAGACCTACCTCGCTGGGGCCAAATCCAGTCTGCGTTTACTCCTAATTGCCAGTGCATCGCAGATCACTGTAATAAAATGTAATTGTACTGGAAATCTCAAAACATGAGCAAAACGCCAAGCCCTGGCTTTTCTTTATCAGATTCTGTAAAGTTTCTAAATGTTCTTCGTTTCTGTAGGGACCTCACTGGGGACAGGAGACAGCCTTGGCTGCTCTGGCCACTTATGATGAGAACTGCTTCAGCGAGTGCTGTGGCTTCAGTTTCAAGTTTTCAGGGAGCTTCCTGCTTAAATATCTTCATGTCTCCTAAGCGGAGTGAAAACCCAGCAGCTTGTCATTTCAGGGAGGGCACCACGGCCCTACCCACCGCTCCGGACCTACCCACTGCTCCCTTTGATCGGTAATTCATCCCTCAAGGGCCTTCAGCCCAGCAGGAGTAGCATCAGGGGGGAGGCCAAGCCAGGGCCAGGACAGGGATGGTCCACCAGAGGGGCACTGGGTCCATGCTCAGCATCTGCTGCTTCTTTAAAGGTCCAGTAATAGTCCACGTTATTTTGATTTTGTTGGCGAATTTGTTTCATCTCCCCCTACTAAAGGTTTTTCAACTGAATATGTGAATGTTATGCCCTGCTTTACTTAAACACAAGGGGTCTAACATACAAGAGAGAAAACTGAAATGAGAAAACAGAAAGAAAAATAAGGAAGGGGAAAGGTGAAATGAACATAGAGGCCCACATATGTTCCACAAGGCCATAGGCACTTTTTAAAAAGCTATAACACAAATGTGTTTGTTGAGCTTCCGGTCAGCTAATGCAAAGAGGGGATCAAGGTGCACCATTCAGTGTTCCCAGGATAAAAGCATCAACTGTTCAGCAATGTTGCTACTTCTGGTCTTGGAATTTTAAAATATCAATCTAAGTCTCCTTACAGAACACACCATTTGGCAATGGAAATGAAGGACCCAAACTTTTTTTCAATAACGGAAATGCCGTGCGTTTCTCCTCTCGCCTTAAAACTTCCTTCAATATGAGTGCTAAAACATTGCTCACTAAAAGTAACTCTTTGAGGGAGTTAATGTAATCCAACCACATCATTCTCAAAAGGCCTGGCAAAATCCAAAAGGGGTTGACACCGGGCAAAGTATGGTCCAGCAATCTCTACAAATCTCTGGAACATTTTCGGGGGTCTGCGTGGTCAAAACTACTTTTACAATACTACTTATGAGTGTGTAGACTGTTTTCCAGCAGCCCTGTAGAGATATCGCTACAGACTCCATGCAGACCAGATGTGAGAATTTAGCTGTCTTTTGTTAAGCCGGGCATGAGAGAGGTTTGCAAATTATTCTTTTGTCTTGACAAATTTTTCATATGAAAATATGTCCAATTAACTTACATGGGTTATTGATATTCTTAAAAGACACAACTTTTTAGTTTTGTTTAAATTTCTAATACAGTTAGCATCTATCAATATAACAGCCTATATAAACAGAATCACGGTGGAGTTCTTGGAAATTTTTAAGAGTATAAAACTGTCTTGAGTCCAAAAAGTTTAAGAATCACTGCTCTAAAAGATTTTCCCCCAAATGATGCTGCCAATCACAAAAAATCCACTGTGCAAAATGCTCTGCGATCCATACACTTGGGAAATGCTGTGTCTGTCCGGAAAGTCATCCAATTAGAAGCCAATAAACCTAACCAACATTCTAACTCTGTTCCCTGAGGTTCCTGGCTAAGATCCCCTTTCAAGTGCTTCTATTATTATCCCAGGGGGCACATGGGCACTCAGATGACTGGCAAGGCCCTCAGTCCGTCCCCATGACACCATCTCTCACAGCAGTCTTGAGTTACCCGTGTGACAACATGAGTGATCGCGTTACAAACAGGGAGGCGATGAGCAGGAAAGACAGCCCCTTTATCTCTGCAAAGAGGTGGACCCAGGACAAAGACCCCACTCTAGAGACAGAGCTGGACCTGTTCACTTAAAGACAGTCAAGTGAGGCCCCACGGAACTCAGACACTCAGATGCAGTCACTTTAGGGTGGACATGTTCCAAGGCAGACAGTGCCACACACTCGCCTCACTCATAAAGACAGCTCAATTAAACATCTGTAGAAGCCTGACTTTTTAGTTAATAATGGTGCCCCCTCCAAGGAAAACAGCGGGCAAATGTATCCCTAATTAGTCAACTTCCTCTACTGGGTTGTTAACTGTTAGTCAATTAAATGTTAGGGAATGCTTACCAAAAATGATGACTTTAGTTTCAGAACTATCAATCTTACTTCTTTTTGACAGTAATTACATAATTGGGTCAGTTGTATATTAAGAAAAGGCTAAGCTCCCAGTAATAAAATTACTGTTTGTCATCAAGCAGCTATATAAGGAGAGTAATATGCATGACACTCTGCTATAAAATGGAAAAAGTGTCTCTTCAGAAGCATATACTAGTAAGGGGTTGGGCCAAGTACAGGACAGGACATAACAGGATAGGAAAGTTAAAGAGGAAGAAAGGAAAGAAAGAAGGAAGGGAGGAAGGAAGGAGAGAAGGAAAGAAGGAAAGAGAGAAGGGGGGAGGGGAGAGGGACAGAGAAAAGAAGGAAAGAAAAAGAATTCTCACTCATCCTTGTAGCACCTGGTAAGGTACCTAAACTGACATCCAAAAATATTTGTCTCAATAAATGTACCATTTACCTTTAAGATGTTTACTTATACACAGATGTATACTACACAAATAATAGTCAAATATAATCTAGTCCAACAGTACTTCCTGGTTCTATAATCTACTTACCTTAACAAAAAACATTTACAAAAAAAAAAAAACTGCGGCAAAATAAAAATAAATCATTTTAATAGACATATTTTCAGCTTCTGTTGATTCACCCCTGATTTGTACTGTATGCAGAGGCACTCGAGTGGTTTGACTTGCTTTATATTTATTTATTTTCCAGCATGGAGCAATCTTCAACAGGAGATGGTATGGCTGAACTGTTTATTCTTAAACAGCACAAAGTACCTTGTCCGCAAAGAGCTTTATCAATTTGAATATTTTCAAAGAGCCCTAGGAGGCAGCTCAGCATGGTGGTTCTTCACTGAAATCTGCTATTTGGAAGGTGGCAGGTTGCTTGTATTCCTATCACAGCTCAGGAGATGATAAAGACTGAATAATAAACATCTCCCACAAACAGCCCCGCAAAATAGCTTCATTTCTGGAAAGCCAATCAAATCATGCAAGTCTTCCTAATGGTGTAGTGTGTTCCAGGGTTCTTTTGATATTTAAGAAGGGAAATATTAATCCTGGTACATAGTCTTTTATACAAATACTCTTACTGATGGCATCACAGGGTTTTCTTCTCCAGCCACCCTCCCATAGTGAAGTGATTTATTGTGTTCGAAGCAGAGTCAAAAGCACGAAGATGTCTACTTTGGTAATCAGAGCTGATGACAGCCTTCTCATTTCCTGCCAAATGGATCAGACCACACTTTTAACCCTATGGAAAGAAACATGAATAAAACAGGATCCATTTTGAAATGCCCTAGTACTTCCCCCAAATCCAAACAAACAAAATGACATTGGAATTGAGTTGTGCAGTTTCCATGTGGCTGATAGTGAGAGCCGGCTGTGGAACCCTGGAATGAAAGGGCCGGGAAGCCACGGCAGCCGAGGGACATTTAAACGGCTCAGAAACTGCCCATCGCAAGAAGATATATATCTGGCCTAGTTAGAAAATAAATAAATAGAAAAGAATGTTGCCACAGATTCCAAGAGTTTTGGTTAATAAGCTGGAAACCTCTCATTTTGGGCCAACTTGGATCATCTTAAAGGAACTACGCATTCACCCATCAAGGGAGCTTTTTGAACTTTTGTAGAAAGCTGAATCTCACATCAATTAAAACAGCTCACAAGTAAATACTATTTTCTCATGAGGGTACTGTTTAAATGGGTGCTTAGTAAATAAGTCTGCAAAACAGCCATTCACACTTCATATCTAATTGCACACTGGTTACATTTTTATGCCCATTTATCAGGTGTTACAGAGGAATCCAGCAAATTTGCAAAAAGTACTCGTTGAGGGTGCTTTCATATTGAAATACAAAAATGAATCTTGGATGGCACCTATAAAATGGCAACTATTGTAAAATATATAGCAAAAGGAAGTTTCTAAGCATTCTCCCTCTCTCCACAGCAAAGCAAACACAAATTACACAACTGTACAAATGTGGTACTGTTTTGATTTTTTTTTAAGTTTACCTGGTGGTTGCACATCTTCTTGGACAATCCCAGCCCGATTGATCGCTTGTTCCTTCTCTGAGAAACAACAGAACAATTATTCTTTAGAATGGAGCAAATCAAAATCTTTGCAGTTATATGGGCCAATGACAGGGGACAGTTAGAAACAGTATTTACGAGTGTTTTAAATTCAGCGATGCCATTACTCAAAGCTTTTAGTTTGTGGAAGTTAGATCTTGTAATGCAAAAAGATTGGGTGTATTCAAGAAAAGAAAGAAAACTATACTTCAAAAGAAAAGCTCCCAACTAACATCTTTTTCCTGTGATCTCAGCATTTTGGAAAGGCAACAAAACAACAGAAAAACAACAATTTTGAAAGAACTGGTGGGCATGATATTATGAGAAGGCTGCTGACATGAAGGAACAAGCACAATTAGCAAGAAAATGACGAAGTTCATATGTCTGAAATGCACTCCGCTGAAGGCCTAGACTCAGAGCTAGAGATGCTATGTTTTTGATAGGAAATAGAGCAGAAAATTAATCTTTGGGTGGGTGGCTTTGGTTTTGATAATTGAAGCTTCCCTAATTGACTGCAGGTGCCATACCAATTAGCAAGCACACTGCAGCGCCAGCGGCTGCATCAGGCTCCCTGGAGATGGCCAACAGGCCAGGCCAAGAGAAACTGGATATTTTATGACTGTGGGCTTCAAGCACTCTGACATGTCTTTCTAAGAGGCTGAGAATAATCCCGAGGTCTGTGGCAATGAAGGCTTACTATTTTTAAGTCTCTTGACAAATGGCACTTTTTAAAAGGAAGACTTGGAGCCAGAGGATATTTATTCCTAGAGTAATTAAATGTTGTAATCAGACCTTTGTTTTAATCAGACTGACAATGTTTCCTTAAATCCACATTTAGCTCTTGTTTAATATTGGGCTGTTTACTTTGGCCTCTGGATTCTCATAAAGTTACACAGGCCTAAAGGTTTTGCTAACCCTAATATTCACTGCACTTGCTTCTCTAGCAATGTGACAGAAAGTCAATCTGAAATGACCTACTTGATAGTTTCGTCACTGCTAAATTTTGCTTGGCATGGAGATTACGGGAATCCTGATAGCCAATACTAAGAGGGAGGGACAAATTAACGAGGCCAATCTTAGCCAGTGGCCTGAGGTCTCACTGCAGCCCTCTGATCGAAGCAGGTGAAAAGCAACCAAGACCCTCAGGACCCAGACACTGCACACCCACTCCAGGGCACAAAGTGGAGCCTCTAAGGGGGCTACACTCTCCCAAATAGCTCAACACAAAAGGGGTCCCCATTTCCTGTGACAGTAAGTTCTTGTAGGAGTGAGCCTTACCACACTATCGATACATAGGTCTCAAAGTACATATGTCTCCAACAGGCTTGGAAAATGCCAAGTGGTGAAAGACACTCTTGGTCTTGCCAGGACCCAAAATAGATGGAATTTGCCAGACTCGAAAAGTCTATTCTCTGATATTATGAAAGTGGGAAGAGACGAGTTTTGAAAACTAATTGTCAGAAAGCATTTCTAGATGTGTGGGTTGAAGCTCATTCACCCTGCTGTACAGAGCACGTTCTCTGAGAGCCAGGGACTGCAAAGCCAAGGCGCCCGGCAGGCTGCCAAGCACAAGAGGAAGCTGACTTGGGGCATAGGCTCAGAATACCTAATTGTGTTCTGATCTCTCATGATGCAATGGAGAACCCAGGGTGAGAAAGGCTCCCTGTCTTCACACTTTCCTGCTAATTGCTAATGAGGTTGGAGAGAGGCTGGAGATTTGTCTCAAATAGACCATAATCTCTTTATAATCCTCATCCTCCTGCAACCGCCTCTACAGCATGGCTTGGACAGGCAACTTGAACCAGTTCCTACCGAGTGATAACCAGGTATTAGCGGCCTAGCTCCATTCGCTGGTTCTTTAATCCATTAATGTTTTATAAATACTCAGGCCAAAGCAGTCTTTATGTAAATTCATGATACCACACAATGACACTTTATTTGTGAATGCAGAATATGCTGAAAGGAAAAGAGAAGTAGTCTCTCAGGATTTAGTAAGTATATCTTGACGAGGCTGACAGGTTTCCACAGTATTTTGCTATCACCGGAGAAACAGCGAATGTACATAAACCTCACAGGGAGAAGGCAGTGGTAGAGCCAGGGGGTTAACTGCGTGAACGCTGAAGTTAATTGCCGACTTCAGTCATGAGTACATTTCTAGCAGGAGTGAAATGATTAAAACCCAACCATGGCACCCTGGGTTAGACAATCCCCACTCCAGTGTCTAAGCAAGCCCGACTCTGCCCCCTGGTGCTAAGGCAGTGGCTTGATTTGTGGTTTTAATTGAGAGTCATTATCTTTAGTCAAAGGGCCAAGGTATATTATTAAAGCTGGTAATACATGAAGGAGGACTGATTCTTGTATGGAAGTAAAGAATTGACTTAATAATTTTTAAGTCTTTGAAAATGAAAACATATCCTTATAGCAAACTTCCGTATTAGGAAATAAATCCAGTGAGTGACATTTTCCTATAACAATGACAACCAAAAAAAGAGGCCACAGAGCTAAGTGCCCTCCCTTCTTGCAGAGGAGCAGCAGGTTGAAACCCAAAGTACACAAGCAGATGACACCAACAGGACCTTGGGAATCCACCTCCTCCACCTTCTCCTGCCAGTGAACAGCTGAAATGAAAACAGCTCACATCTCGACGTAACTGGGATGAACGGCAAAATGTGAATAGATTATTAGATAATAGCACTGTATCAGTGTTAAATTTCCTAGACTGGCTGACTGTATTATAATTAAGGAAGATGGGCCGGGGATTTAGCTCAGTAGCACTGTGCCTGCCTTGAAGCGAAAGGTCCTAAGTTCGATCCCCAGTACCAAAAAAAAAATTATGGAAGAGAACACCCTTGTTCCTGCGAAATTCAGAAATGAAAGCTCCCCAAACTTAGACTTACACGTGTGAGTATAATTCCTTATGTATATATGCCTCTATCTCATCTATGGGTCAGAAGCCAAACATGGCGAATGTTAACAATGGTAGATCTAGGTGAAGGATATAAAGGAATTATATCATTCTTATGATACTATTCTTTTCTGTCAGTTTGTATTTTTTCTTTATAAAAAAATAAGTGACTGTTAAACATACACATAAGAAGGTCTAACAGTGTGACTGTTCCACGACTACTTCAAAGTATCTTTTTTACGACAGCAAATACCAATTTTTAGAGGAAAATCTTTCTGCTCCCATCTTTGCTGCTCTTGGCTGGAAACTTATTGGTTTGCCTATAGGGGAATACTGAACAAGGCAGCACTAGCGGCAAGTGTGAACCACAGGGCCATGACAGCAGGTGTGAGCCACGGACCGAGGAGGATACACGAGAGAGAACCAGCTGCCCAAGGGGATAAAAAGGCTGCAACAGCAAGTGTGAATCAGCCGGCTGGGGATAAGCAAATGGCCACTGCAGCAGAAATGAACCAGAGGCTGAGGAGAAGCCACACCAGAAGTGTGAACGAGGGGCTGACAGGACCCAAACAGCCGTAACGGCAAGTGTGAGCCGGGTGACGGAGGGAACCGAATGGCTCTAACAGCACATGTGAACCAGAGGTTGGGGAGAAGCCACACACCCCAACAGCTGTTGTGAATCAGCTCGCTGAAGGGGACAAAATGGCCTCAAATCACAGGCTCCTCCTGGAGCCGTAAACACAACCATTTTCTCAGCAGAGCGGCTGGGTGAATGCAGGGAGCTTGGTGATGCCAGTTAGAAAACAAGACTTGAGTCAGTGCATTTCATTTGATTTTATGGTAAACGAAATGAAAAGCAAATTCTAAGCACCGAGCATGTAATAGGGAAAATGCCCTTACAAGGTAAGAATTACTTCCACATCGAGTGATTTCTTGTAACCTTATTGCGCTGAGTGTACAACACAGATTCAGCTAGGGCAACAGAATGAGAACATGACGGAGCAGTAGAATGAAGTCTCCTCCCAGCATCCCTGGGTTCTTTCACTTTGCTGATCCTTAAATGTTCATAGCACTGTGACAGGGCATCAGGAGGACAAGGCCTGGGGGTGTCCCAACACCCCCTGATGCTCACCCCGCAATTTATGGGCTGGGTGACCTTGGACAAGTCACCTCCATGAGCGGAATGAATGAGCAGGCAGAAGTGCCTTACCCTGGGCCCAAGGTCTTCCTCTCCCGGTGCTGAGGCTCTGCCACCTCCCCGCTGTGGGCTGTCACCTCTCCAGCACCTGTGTCATCTGGAGTCTCCTGGCACTCCCAGCCACTCAGAAAGTAAACACATTCTCCCTAGACCTCTTGACCTGCTGCAGATACTGCTTTGCTGTTCTCCTCTCCAACAGCTCCAACATCTTCAGATCGTCAATTTAACAGGCTTTCTGTTTTGTTTACTCTTTAATCTGCTACACTTTGCTTTTTGTCCACATCCAAACCATGAAAAGCATTAACAAAATTATCAGTACTTTTTACCGTCTTTTTGCTAACTCCACTGGATATTTTCACTTATCCTCCTTACCATCCCTAAGCAGCCCACCCCCCCTTTCATGATGCGCTGCCTTGTGTGCTGGACCTGTAGCCCATCTCTCCACCAGCCTCCTTGGTCCTGTCTTCAGAGCTCGGTCCTGCTGCAGCTCAGGGCCCTATGTCTAGGTGCGCCTGCACATGCCTGCCTGTCCCTCCCCAGCTCTGGGCACTGCCTGGGCACCTGGACCCACTGCACTGACTCGGTGCACACACAGCTCCAGCTTGCTGATCCCAACGCCTCTGGGAAGTCCCCACCCCAAACTCCAGCTGTCCAGATGCGAACTGTCCTCTCACCCCAATGTTTCCCACAAGTGAGAAGAAGCACCCCGTCTCCCCAGCTGCAGGACCCATAGGCCAGATGCCCTTTTCCTCCTCTCCCTTCCTTGCCACTGGGGCTCATGAGTATCAAACCCCACAGAGGTTCATCCTCCCCTGACCCACGACTGCCACTCTAGTTTAGGCCAAGGAAACAGAGCCACCCTGAACCTGGCCTGCTGGGGACTGAACACTTCCAGCACACCCTCCTTCACAGAGTGAGGCTCATCGCCTTGCTCTCCTGGTGAACACATCTCAGTAATTCTCCACTTCTCAAAGAGCAGTGCTTTGTCGGAGTATGTCAATAATGCGAGTGAGATGATCAACTCGGAAGAATAAATGGAGAGATGGCAGGCTTTTCAACAGCCACAGCCGAAGATGGGGAAAGAGGGGTACATTTCCTAACAAATCAAAACAGAGGTTTCCAATTAAAAATTCTCACCAAAGAAACATTAATAGATGTATTTCAGGGGGAAAAAAGAGGAAATTAAAAAAGGATGAGAGGCAAGAAAGATGGGTAAGAATGTGTGTAAAAGCTGGGTGTGGTGGTGTACATGTGTAATCTCAGCACTCCGGGAGGCTGAGGCAGGAGGATCTCAAGTTGCAACCCAGCCTGGGCAACTTAGCAAAACCCTGACTCAATATAAAAAATAAAAAGGGCCAGGACGTGTCTCTGTGCAAAGCCCATGGGTTCAATCCCCAGTGCTGCAAAGGCGGGAGGGAGGGAGGAAGGGAGAGAAGGAAGATGGATGGAAGGAAGGAAGGAAGGAAGGCAGGAAGGCAGGCAGGCAGGCAGGAAGGCAGGAAGGCAGGAAGGCAGGAAGGCAGGAAGGCAGGAAGGCAGGAAGGCAGGAAGGCAGGCGAGAGAGTGTGAGAGCATAGAAACAATCAGAGACTGTACATAAACAGTGGCGGGTCCAACTGATTTGGGGAGTGGTAAAGACAGACAGGGCTAAACGAATGCAGATGTATGTGGCTGGGACAGGAGTGCAATGCAAAGACCTGAGCATCTTGTCTGGTCAGGGACACCCAGCAGCTAACAGACTCAGGTTCAGAGCGACTGCTAAACTCCAGGTTCTAAAAAAAGCAGCCAGACAAATGCTAGCTGAAATGAACTGAAGCTCCTTCCACAAAGTGAGATCTCCTGACCTCGTCGTGGACCCCAGTTTAGGGCCAGGCCAGCCAGCCTTAGATCTGTGCACTGCTTGAATCTCTCACCTCCCTGCCCCGTGGCTCCTTAATTGTGCAATGTTTTTATGGAATGCCTAACATAAGACTATAATGGGAGTGGCCACAACCACTACCTCCTTTAATTTACCCCAAACCTGGCCAATTCAGTCCAATAAACTCCACTGCTGCTGCTGAGGAAACAGGGTGGGCCCTCAGAAGTAAAGGAACTCATCTTAGTGATTCACCCCCCAAGACATGGAGAGGACCTTTCCCTGCCTCATTTCCTTTTCTGGGGCAGGCTGGGCAGTGCGGTGTGTCACGGTTTATGGATTAGAGGCACCAGCTCAATCCCAGGCTGACTCATCAATTGTGGGACTGTTTGTAAGTTACTCGCTGCAATTTGCCCACATATGAAATGGGGATGATTTTTCAGCAGCTACAGACTTATTATTGATACTAAATGCTTAATATTTGAAATGCTTAGATGTGCTTAGAAGACTACTAGATACAGCTTTCAATAAATATGAGCTGTTTACCATTACTTACCTGTCTAAAGAATCAGTTATGACTCTCGGCTATAAACTGGCTAAATTAATCAAAATAGAACCAGAAAAGTGAGCAGGCACAACTGCCTTCCAGTTTAAAATGCAGCTATTGTGGTTACACTCATGAAAACATTCACTCCAAGGGCCTGATTTGTCTGTCTCAAGCAAATCAGACAGCCAAGGATTCTGGATGTCCCTTGGAGACTACTGTAGGGGACACATGACACAGACCCACACCATGGTCATCTGATCACAGTGGCGTTCTCAACCAACATGTGAAGCTAGGTAATTCTGTGCACAGGGGACTGTTCAGTAAGGTTTATTCTGGCTTCTATCCAGAAGATATCTGTAGCACAGTTGCCTTCCTTTCTCTCTCCTACCTGTGACAAGCAAAAATGTCTCCAGATACAGCCAAATGTCCCCTGCGGACAAAACCATTCCTAGCTAAACACCCCTGCTAGGGCTTCATAACTGACACATTTCTAGTTGGACCCAAAGCAGACCCTTTGTTCCAAGTTCAACTCTAGAGACCACAGTAAAATAGCCTAGAACACAATCAGCCAGGGAAAGTGATGGAAATAGACCTCACAGCCCCATCTTTGCCCCTACACATGGCACGGCAAGTGCAGACAGGCCGGAAGGAGGGGTGGACAGAGGCCATGTCAGCCTTAGCTGATGAAAATAAACTACAAGGAAATCTAAGTGTGTATTTAAAAGCTCCACCTCCAGAAACCAAACATTGTAGCTTTCAGAATGGGCAGAGCATTTACATGGAGCTTTCGCCTTCAAATTGCCAAGCTTTCAGCCTCAGCCAATATCCTCAGGGGGCAGGGTTGGCCCTCTTCCATCTTCAAGATGATTCAGGTTTCCTGGAGAACAAAATGAGTCTCTAATGCCTAATATTTTCTCTCTGACAGATGGTTTCAGATGTATCAAAGTGCTAATCCTTGCTGAAGTATAGGTCTCAAGGAAGGCGAGTTTGGCTTTTAGAATGATAGGACTTGAATGATTAAGGAGGAAAATGACTCCCAGGATATTCACCATTGTCATATGAGCAACCAGCTTCAAATGAAAGAAACCAGCAGAATCTGATAAATTATTTGAGGAAAACTCGAAAAACTCAGGTTAACAGTTTCAGCTTGAAATATTTCCACTCAAACACATCTTTGGGAGTGGAAATGAAGCGAAATAAAAACGCCTTTCAGCTCAGGATTATCAGGGTTTCATCTGCCTTCCCCTAGATCACTATGATGCTGGAAGCTCTGGAGACAGAGGCTTGGGCTGGAATATTTGCCTTGCCACCTAAATAGCTGTGTGACCTTGGGTAAAGTTATTGGATCTTGCAGCCTCAGTTCCCCATCTCTAAAATGGGTTATAACATCTACCTAAAGGGGAGGTTGTGCAAATTAACCGATCCAATTTATGCCTAAGCTGATGCATAAGCGCTCATACTAACTATGAGTGTTAGTATTCAAGTGTCGACCCACTATGTGCAGACTGCTTTCATATACATAGCCACCTGAGGCGCTCCAGGGGCTCCCGTTTTATTACTGATGGTGGTGCAGACACTGGTATTTATCGAGGGGACCTCTACGGGCCCGAGAGGGTGGGCCGCTGGTCCGCAATCACAAACATGGACACGGTAGAATTTGAACCTGGCTCTGCCTGACGCCTGAGCCCAGTTTTTCCACGACACCACGTGGAACTGACCGGGTGGGGGCTGAAGGGGGACAGTTCCCGGGGCCAGGCCACCGCGCGGGGTTAGAGGTCACTCACGGTACTCCTCCAGCCTCATTAGGGGCCGGAAGTAGATGGGGTAGAAGGCGGCGCCGACCAAGGAGAAGAAGCCGCCGAAAATGAGCGCGGTGCGCAGGTTCCGGGACATGGCGCCAGGCCCGGGGCTGACCTGACCCGCGGACGTCCCCGCACGCGCGGAGACTTCGCTCCAGCCAGCCAGGCCCGTGACCCCACTCGGAAGTGGAGAAGCGGCTTTCGCTTCCGGGCCTTGGGGGCGGGGAGAGAGGCAGGGGGCGGGGAGGAAGGCGGGGCTTTGGGCGGGAGTGTGCCTGAGGAAGGTGGGGGCGGGGCGGGGCGGGGGCGGGCCCAGGATGGTGGGCGGGGCCTCGTCCCTGCACATCGCCTACTCCTCCCTCCCCCGCTGCGCGTGAAGCTGATGCAGGTGGCCGATTGCTGGGGAGCTTTTGTTCCGCTCTTTCCTGCAGGTCCTTTTTTGCGCCCTTTCCTTCTCTGGGGCTGATTCCTCTCTCCGCCGCTCCCGTCGCCACCCTCCAGACCTCTCACTAGCCCTCGGTCACCAGCCGCGCTTTCTTGTCCTTCCCTGGTTAATTTGATATTTTGTGACTGTAGCAAGCCGGCCGAGCTCAAAGGCTCTCTCACACAGTCCTATCAGTGGGCTCAAGTTACAGCCGAGGGGACCACGGCTTGGCTGCCCGGCTTGGCTGCCCGGCTTTGGATAAGATACTGGGCCTTTTTGAGGGCAGTTTGTGGCAATGAGAGCCAAAGGGACAAATCGCCTGGTCCGGGTGGCCTGACGGGTGTTTCTGAAACCCGGGCCACAAGAGCTTCTGGACACAGACTGGCCTGGGAGGGGTCCTGACCCCGTTTTTCCACCCTTTCCTCTTGCCCTGCGGTCTGTGCTGGGCTGTCAGGGATGCCAATAAGGATAGAAAGTGGACAGAAATCAGCGAAAGTCAGGGAACCAGGGGCCAATCCCACCGATGGGACCCCGGGGCTCTGGCTTATTGCCTGAGTGGGGGCCACTGAGGACAGACATCTGCTTCCTCTTTGTCTGATTGCCACCTTGCATCCCCTGCACCTTTCCTCCTGACAGGTGGGCTGTGCCTGAATATGACCTGCCCAGGGGGCTGGGCAGCTGGGACCAAGATTCCTTGGGGCTTCACTCCAACTCTTCGCGGTTTTTTTTTGTTTTGTTTTGTTTTTGGTACCGGGGAATCGAACTCGGGTCTTTGCGCTTGCGCAGCAGGTGGCGAACCCACTGAGCTAAATCCCCAGCCCTTCACTCCAACTCTTACAAATAGAAATGATTTCCACAGCTGGGGCTGGGGAGCAGAGAGGACATTTATCTTGACGCTAGCAGCATTATTTAGTCCAGAAAAGATGTACACTCTTTCCGAAATGGTGTGAACACAGCTCTCCTCTTCCTTTCTTCATAGTTTTGTATTTGTAGTTGTATCAAGATAACCGTCTACCTCCGTTGCTCTAGAAGCATATAAATCAGTTGTTCAATCTGTCAGCAGATTTATGAACTATCTGCTGTGCCCCTACAGGGGACACAAGACGAATAAGAAGTGACCCCTGCTGTCCCGGATCCTGCCATGGAACATACACATGAAGAGATAACTGATGACCCCCACGGCCTGTTGCAGATGAGTGACAAGGACTGCCAAGGTGCAGAGGAGGAAGACAGATGACTGTGCGGTGAGGTGGCCGCTCCTCAGGCACCGCAAGCATGGACAGATAAGGAGTCTTCTCAGCAGAGGGAATGTGCAATACATGCTTTTATCACATGATAGAAAATTCCCAGGGTCAGTGTGCATTTGTCGTTTCAGCAGCCTACCATCCACTTCCCCTTTTCCTATTATTACCTTTTGGGAAACTGTACTCTCCTAATCTTGGTAAGCTGGGGTATCCTCTCCCACAAGGTAAGCTGGGGCTTCTGGCCCTCATCCCACTCTTCCCAGCTCTGAAAGTTAAGCATATAAGTAAGCCCAACCAAGCTTCCTTGCACAAAGATTGGTTAGCACAGGCTTAGGCCAATGTAGTTGCATCTTCTTGATCATATGACCCTGACTGAGCTGACCATAGTCTTATCTCAGCTCTGGAAAGGTACCGTTGGAGAAAAGATGCTGGAGGTATGGGAGAGGGACCAGTTGGGGACTGAAAATGAGGTCAGCATAGCAGGAGGGGGGGGGGCGCGGATACTGCATTAGAGCCAACCATACCTGAAGGAAGGAATATCTACCCCTGGACTGCTCAGTATGAGCCAATAAAGTCACTCTTTCAAGGAAGCCACTTTGAATTGGGTTCTGTCTTTTACAACAGAAGGAATTTGTCTTAGTTACTTTCTCATCTCTAAGACACAATACCGAACACCAACAACTTAAAGGTGGAAAGGTTTATTTTGCCCCACAGAGTTTGTAGAGGTTCCAGTCCACAGTCAGGTGGTTCCAAGGGAGGGTGGTATGGCAGAGGAGAATTAATTGCTCTTGGCCTGGCAGGCAGGAAGCAGAGAGAGATCAAGGGAGGAGGGAGGGAGATAGACCCTTCCAGGCCACGCCCCCAGTGACCCTCTTCCTCCCAACACTGCATTTAGCTATAAGCTCATTAAAGGACTAGTCCACCAATTATCACATCTCCACGGTCCAGTCACATCCCAGAAGCCCCACCTATGAGTGTGTGTGGCAGTGCGGGGAACTCCAGATATAAACATAGTTCCAGAATGAAACACCTGTGTATATGATTCTGCCTGCTTCACACTTCACCAGCTGCAAAGCAAGGATGACTTTTCTAGACATGGTCATGGAAAGCTCGTGAGGTGCACTTTCTCTGGGCACACCTTGGTGTAGGGCTTGTCTCTTAGGATTCCTGATCCCTCTGCGAGGAGCTTGGCAGGATATCTAGTCAAGCCACAGGCCTCTGCAAGCCAATATGGCAGATGCCAGGAGTGAGGCATCCTGGTGAGGTATGAGCGATGCATGGAAGCAAGGGCAAGACCCACATGGCAGATGAGGCATCCCTCACCAAGGTAATGTGACAAAAGCCTCATGGCTCCTCTGTCTCCTTCATGCTGATCTAAAGGCATTAGCTGTCCAGCAGAAATGATTAGCCCATCTCTGCCATTTGTCCAGATTATTAGTCTTATCACACCAGAAAACAGTGACTTGTCACCCGCCTGCCGCCAGGTCCCACCAAACACAGTTATCTCTTTGATCCCAGGGTACACCCGTTTCTGAGGAAACCACACTTGCCCGATTTCCCCCCACTATCCTGTCCATTCAATCAGCACAGACATTGTGGTTGTTGATTAGGAGCACAAAGAGGAGTCTTTCAACATTCTAGAATTCAGCTATGGTTCACTGAGCCAGGCTCAGGCTGCCAGACGCTTCTCAGGTGCTGGCAGATGTGGCAGTGAATAAAACAGCAGACTCTGCCATCCCCCTAGAGTCTGCAGTCTGGTGGAAGGATAAGATGTGGAACGTGTAGTAACTGCCTCCCCTCCCTCATAACAGCTCCTCATGGCCTTTGAAGAATGACCTCTCATCTTGGCATTCTTGGTTGGACTGTGTTTTGGTTTGGATTTTTTTCCCCCAGTACTGAGGATTGAACACAGAGCCATTGCACTGAGCTACATCCCCAGCCCTTTTCTCTTTCTTTTCTTCTAGCTGGGTGTGGTGGTTCATGCAGGTAATAATCCTAGCACTCTGGGAGGCTGAGGAAGAAGGATCAAAAGTTCAAGTCCAGCCTAGGCAATTCAGTGACTTGCTGAGACCCTGTCTTAAAATGTACTTAAAATTTTTAAAAAGGTTTAGAGATGTAGCTCAGTGTGAAGGCCCTGGATTTAATCCCCAGGACAAAAAAAAAAAAATTATTTTGAGACAAGGTCTCACTAACTCACTAAGTTGCCCAGGCTGAACTTGAACTTCTTTCTGTCTCAGCTTCCCAGGGTGCTGGGATTACAGGTATGAACCGTCATTCTAGCTCTGGTTTGGATCTTAAATGACCCCCAGAAGCTCCTATGTTAAAGGCTTGGCACCCAGCTGATGGCATTTAGGAGCCAGGGCCTACTTGGAGGAAGTAGGTCACTGGGGATGTGCCCATGAAGGGTATGTTGGGACTGTAGCTCTTCTTTCTCTTCTCTTTTCTTCCTGGCCACCACGAGGGAAGCAGTTTCCCCTGCCACAAGTCCCCACCATGATGGTCTGCCTTGCCACAGTTCTGAAAAGCAACAGAGCCAAATAACTATGAACTGAAACCACTGAAACCATAAGCCAAGTTGTTTATCTCAAGAATTTTGTTACAGTGATGGAAAACTAACTAACATAGACTCTAAGGGACTGTATGCACTCCTAAGCAATACAGCACTAATTAGGGACCATATGCACTCCTAAGCAATACAGCACTAATATCAAGACTTAGCGAATACTTGCATTGTGAGGTCACTATCATACTTTACTCATTTGCTGTTCACCATGCCTGTGAATAGTTGTCCCCACATTCAGAGAAGGAAGCTATGCATACTGAGAATGACTTGTCCTAAGTCGCATGACCAGTAAATGGCAGAGCAGAGATTCAAATCCACCCTGTCTGGTTCCAGAGTCCAGTTCTTCACCACCAGTCTAAATTGCACAGTAAATTCAATGAGCTTGTGTCACCTGGGTGGGGCTATGGTCCTGCCTAGTCCAGTTATTCTCTCTTCTAGAAATAAGAATCATGAGGATCAGCATGAATCGCATGAAGATAGACAAACACTGTTGCAGTAGATTTCTTCCATTGCCAATGTTTGGAGATTACTGTATATCTCCCACTTGCCTGTTATACTGGCACTTCCCTGGGTCTAAACTGATTCTCAAGTGTTCTTTATGGCCTACAGGTCACCGAATGTGCTCCCTATAAACTCTATTTGAACTTTAGTTAGTCAGAATCGGTTTCAGTTCATGCCACCAGGAGCCCTAACACATACAGAAATCAGCATAATTACCTCCAACACATGGCACAGATGAGGGGCTTGGGGCTTCTCGGTTGTGCTAATATTTGGGAAAGCCAGAGGAAGTGTGGATGTGGGGGAAGGAGTTTGTGCAAAGGGAGAGAGAGCTCAAGGCAGGATGCAAGTCAAATATGTCGGGACCCCCAGGGTGCATATTTTCATCTCAATCACTGAAAAAAAATTGGTTTGGGCTCCTACCTGGCACCTTCTCCTTCTTCCCTTGGATGTGAAGATTGAATGCTTGCAGGGAG